CTGTGATCTAGCAAACCCTGCATGACCTTTCTTACTGCATTTACTTGCTCTTTTAATCGGCTACCACTGAACTTCTCCATTTTCTCAAACAGCTGCCTTAAGAATGTTTCATTTGATGTTCCTTCTGCCTGGAGTTCTCTCTTACCAGGTATACACATGGCCAACTCCTTCACTCTTGACTCAGATTTAACTATCACTTTTCTCTGGCTATTTTAGCTAAAATATCAGCTCTTGGCCTGGCTGGTGTGGCTCGGTTTGGGTGTCCTTTGCACTGATAGGCTGCCGGTTCAATTCCCAGTCAGGGCACATTCCCAGGTTGCTGGCTTGATCCCTTATAAGGGGGCTTGCAGGAGGCAGCCAATCAATGTTATGCTCTCACATCAGTGTTTCTCTCTCCCCCCTCTCTTTATCTCTAAAAATCAATAAAAGTATTTTTATTTCAACTCTCATACTTCAAAACCCCATACCCTTCCCCTACTTTATTTTTTTCCTTAGCAACTATGACTAACATCATATATACTTAATATTTGTTTATTGTTTCTCTCCAGTCTGTGACAACTAAGATTTTTGCTCTTTGTTCATTATTGTACCCCAGGTATCTAGAACACTACTTTTTTAAAATATTGTTAAATGAGTAGAAGCAATAGGGTAAACTATATTTTGAAAAATAATTGAAGGAAGCTAAGAAGTAATAATGTTGATATTAAACTAAGTTCATTTGAAAGAACGTATTCAAACATTTAGCTCAAACCACTTGCTCAGTGTCTAATGTGTCTGTAACTCATCTATCTTCTATCATAACCCTAAATTATAATGCTAAAGGTGGTATTTTAGAGTACTGTATCCGTAGATCCTGTGTACATACTCAACAAGAAAATAGAGCCTTGCCGAAACCGGTTTGGCTCAGTGGATAGAACGTCGGCCTGCGGACTGAAGGGTCCCGGGTTCGATTCTGGTCAGGGGCATGTACCTGGGTTGCGGGCATATCCCCAGTAGGGGATGTGCAGGAGGCAGCTGATCGATGTTTCTCTCTCGTCGATGTTTCTGACTCTCTGTCTCTCTCCCTTCCTCTCTGTAAAAAATCATTAAAATATATTTAAAAAAAAAAAAAAAGAAAATAGAGCCTTGACTGGTGTGGCTCAGTGATAGAGTGTGGCCTGCACGCCGAAGGGTCATGGGTTCAATTCCTGGCCAAGGGCACATACTTGGGTTGCAAGTTTGTTCCCTGGCCCGGTCTGGCGTGTACAGGAGGCAACCAATCAATATGTGTGTGTGTCTCTGTCTCTCTCTTCTCCTCCCTCCCTTCCACTCTCTTTAAAAGTCAGTGGGAAAAAATAACCTCAGGTAAAGATTAACAAAAAAGGAGGAGAACCAAGATGGCGGCATAGGTTAACGCCGGAGTTTGCTGCTTTGAACAACTACTTCAAAAGTGAAACCAAAAAACGGAAGGGACATCACCCAGAACCACAGGAACGCTGGCTGAGTGGAAGTCCTACAACTAGGAGGAAAGAGAAACGCATACGGACACTCAGAGGGGGCGCAGTGCTGAAGTCAAATTCTGAGGTGCGGAGTGCGCGGTTGGCGTTTTCAATCGGGAGGGAGTCGAAGACTCTGAGCTCCAGATCCGGGCGAGTCTTTAGGGACCCAGACTCAAATGGGAGAAGCGGGACTGTCTGGCTTCGGTCAGAGCGAGTGCAGCTTTCTCTCTGAGCTTTGCAGCGGGTGCTGGGACTCAGAGAGGCAGAGCCCCTGGGGACAGGACTGAGAGCCGCCATAACTGCTCTCTCCGGCCCACCCTGTTGATCCTGTGCGACCCGCCCCGCCCAAGCCCTGCACAGAGGCATTTGCCAGATAGCCTCAGGCAAACGCCAGGTTAGCACCTCCCTAGAGGACAGAAGTTCTCTCACTGCTGACACAGCTGATTCTCATAGCCACTTGGCCTGGAGGTCAAACCCTCCCTGGAATTAGCTACAACAATCAAGATTTAACTATAAGACTTCAAACAAAGACCACTAGGGGGTGCACCAAGGAAGCATAACAAAATGCGGAGAACAAAGAAACAGGACAAAATTGTCAATGGAAGATATAGAGTTCAGAACCACACTTTTAAGGTCTCTCAAGAACTGTTTAGAAGCCGCCGATAAACTTAATGAGATCTACAAGAAAACTAATAAGACCCTCGATCTTATATTGGGGAGCCAACTAGAAATTAAGCATACACGGACTGAAATAACGAATATTATACAGACTCCCGACAGCAGACCAGAGGAGCGCAAGAATCAAGTCAATGACTTGAAATGCGAGGAAGCAAAAAACACCCAACCGGAAAAGCAAAATGAAAAAAGAATCCAAAAATGCGAGGATAGTGTAAGGAGCCTCTGGGACAGCTTCAAGCATACCAACATCAGAATTATAGGGGTGCCAGAAAAAGAGAGAGAGCAAGATATTGAAAACCTATTTGAAGAAATAATGACAGAAAACTTCCCCCACCTGGTGAAAGAAATGGACTTACAGGTCCAAGAAGCGCAGAGAACCCCAAACAAAAGGAATCCAAAGAGGACCACACCAAGACACATCATAATTAAAATGCCAAGAGCAAAAGATAAAGAGAGAATCTTAAAAACAGCAAGAGAAAGAAACTCAGTTACCTACAAGGGAATACCCATACGACTGTCAGCTGATTTCTCAACAGAAACTTTGCAGGCCAGAAGGGAGTGGCAAGAAATATTCAAAGTGATGAATACCAAGAACCTACAACCAAGATTACTTTATCCAGCAAAGCTATCATTCAGAATTGAAGGTCAGATAAAGAGCTTCACAGATAAGGAAAAGCTAAAGGAGTTCATCACCACCAAACCAGGATTATATGAAATGCTGAAAGGTATCCTTTAAGAAGAGGAAGAGGAAGAAAAAGGTAAAGATACAAATTATGAACAACAAATATGCATCTATCAACAAGTGAATCTAAGAATCAAGTGAATAAATAATCTGATGAACAGAATGAACTGTTGATTATAATAGAATCAGGGACATAGAAAGGGAATGGACTGACTCTTCCTGGGGGGGAAAGGGGTGTGGGAGATGCGGGAAGAGACTGGACAAAAATCGTGCACCTATGGATGAGGACAGTGGGTGGGGAGTGAGGGCGGAGGGTGGGGCGGGAACTGGGAGGAGGGGAGTTATGGGGGGGAAAAAAAGAGGAACAAATGTAATAATCTGAACAATAAAGATTTAATTAAAAAAAAAAAGATTAACAAAAAAGGAAACTAGAAAGTTTCCTATTTGGAGTGATTCACTGATGGACTAGAACAAATGAAATAGAAAGTTTGGTCTGGCGTGTGCAGGAGGCAACCAATCAATATGTGTGTGTGTCTCTGTCTCTCTCTTCTCCTCCCTCCCTTCCACTCTCTTTAAAAGTCAGTGGGAAAAAATAACCTCAGGTAAAGATTAACAAAAAAGGAAACTAGAAAGTTTCCTATTTGGAGTGATTCACTGATGGACTAGAACAAATGAAATAGAAAGTTTCCTATCTGGAGTGATTCACTGATGGCCTAGAACCCTGTTTGGCAAACTGCGGCTCGCGAGCCACATTCGGCTCTTTGGCCCCTTGAGTGTGGCTCTTCCACAAAATACTGACTTCTGCACATGGGCCACGAAGTTTCAATCGCACTGTACGTGTGTGCCCGCACGTGGTATTTCGTGGAAGAGCCACACTCAAGGGGCCAAAGAGCCGCATGTGGCTCGCGAGCCGCAGTTTGCCAACCACTGACCTAGAACACATGATATAGCCAGGTTGCTCTGAGGAATCCATGGTAAGTCTGGCCTTTTTTTTTTTTTTTGTGGTAAAATACATATAACATTTACCATGTTAATCATTTTTAAATATGCAGTTGTGAAGCAGATCCCCAGAACTTTTTCATGTTGCAAATCTGAAACTAAACCAATTAACAACTCTTTCTTTCCCCTCCCCCTACTCTCAGGTAGCCATGATTCTTCTTTCTGTTTCTATGAATTGACTTTAGATACCACAGATAAGTAGAATCATAAAGTGTCTTCCTATGACTGGCTTATTCACTTAGCATAATGTCAAAAAGTCCATCCAGGTTGTAGCATATACCAGATTTCCTTTCTCTTTATGGCTGAATACTATTCCACTCTATGCCTGTATGTACAGGTATTTTATGTATTCATTAATCGATTGACATTTGGGTTCGTTCTACTTCTTGGCTATTGTGAATAAGTACTGCTGTGACATGGCTGTACAAATATGAGTCTAGCTATTTTTAACTTAAAATACTTTATACTTTAATTTTTAATTTATAATGTCGCCCTAACTGGTTTGGCTCAGTGGATAGAGCGTCAGCCTTGAGACTGAAAGGTCCCGGGTTCGATTTCGGCCAAGGGCATGTACCTTGGTTGCGGGCACATCCCCAGTGAGAGGTGTGCAGGAGGCAGCTGATCAATGTTTCTCTCTCATCGATGTTTCTTACTTTCTATCCCTCTCCTTTCCTCTCTGTGAAAAATCAATAAAATACATTTTTTTAAAAATTTATAATGTCTTTAAGTTCTGTGTCAAATGCTCTACCTCTATCGGAAAAAAAGTCATTTCATGAATAATTATATAATCTGAACCTGTGTGTCTCAATACAGTTTTAGTTCCTAATGCTATACATATTCCAGAAGTTTGTATAGTAGTTTTAATTAAAAGGAAAATAATGAAATAGATCATAAACTATTAAAAGCCTAATATATAAACATTTAGCTCAAAAACAGAAGGAAAATCATCTTTGCCACTTTCCACATTCTTAATATAATTGTCACCATAAATACATCTTTTTCAGGCATACCTCCAAACAACCACTGACCACAATCCTGCTGATTGTGTTAATCATAAGTCTTACTCTAGTATTAAACAAAAGTTACCTACAAAACTGATTAATCAAAACACAAAGAGTCGTGTTCCAAATGTTATATGAACATAATGTGTCTGAAGAGCCAATTTAACGATTCCTTTTGGTTGACTTCTTCTTGTGCACTTCTTTATGCTTCTTTTTTTTCCTCTTACCACCTTCTTTGAATCCTGCTGAGAAAACAGAGGGATCCTTGTTGCTGGTGACCCACGGTATACGTTGCTCATTTCCCACACAAGTGTATTGAGGCACATATTTGGAGCTGTAGGACTTCGGTGAATAATTGTCAAGTGACTGTCTTCTCCACCTATGCTCTGCAAAGCCCTCTTCATCTAACACATCGTTTATAATGAGGAAGGACCCTAACTCGCCCTCATCTTCCCCTTCTCTTTCCTCCTCATTCTCAATAATTCTGCTTGTATTGGTCTTTCTGCCATTAACAGTTTTATATGAAGTAAAAGATGTGTAGTTGTCCATCCCACTGTCATCAAATGCCAGGGAAGAGAAAAAATTAAGGTCTTCTTGGCCCAGTGAATCATATGGTGTATATCTTGTGTCATATTCATAAAATCTCTCAAAAACTGGATGTTCACGGGAGGTAGAGAAAAAGGATCTTGCACCTCTGTTTCTACTTCTATAGGAACTTCTTGGACTATTTAAAAGGTCCTCAAGTGAGTCTTCAAAGAAAAGACATAAAAATGAGTCCCTTTCACCAAAAATTTCTGTAAAGACATCATCTGGCTTAGGGAATGTGAAGCCATATTCAAAAGAATCATCAATATTACTTCCGCCTTCGCCATTTAATCCTTCTTTGCCATATTTATCATAAATGTCCCGTTTTTCATCATTTGATAATACCTCATACGCTTCAGCTACTTCTTTGAATTTTCTCTCCGCTTCTTCTTTATTTTCTAGATTTTTATCAGGGTGCCATTTAAGTGCCACTTTATGATAAGCCTTTTTAATGTCTGCACATGAAGCATATCTCTGCACTCCTAGAACTTCATAGTAATCTACCATGTTTTAACAAATCGTTGGAAGGGGGTGCCCTGGGTAGTAAGAACCGTGGTTTCCTCTCCGTGCCGGCTCTGTTGGTGGTGGTGGTAGAGTGACTGCAAATAGGCACATTTTTACATTGAAGACAATGTTGCTGTGGGTCACTGCTAGGAGATGATAGGGTACTGATTGTGTGGTAAGCAGAGTTACAAGCTTATGTCAGAGAGGGCTGCATTATGGTGTCATCCGGGGGTTGGGGTAGGACTTGACCTTCTCAATGGAGCTAGTCCAGAGTCATATCAGACCGCCCTGAACCCTCTGGATGATTTCTCCTGTATTTCTCTGGAAGCCTCAAACAATACCTCATAAATCAGTGGGACCTGTTGTTACTGGCCACAGCATGCTACTTGCATAATGCGACCTCTAGGTTACTAAGTCTTAATAACTTACTTCCCAGTGCTTGCATGTTTTGGTTTGGAAAAATGAAGAAGTCTAAAAAACATGTAGTTAAAGATTTTGAAAACTGTGTTTATGTATTCAATACATATTATTGAATGCCTATTTTGTGCAAGGCTCAGTTTTAGCCACTGGTAATAACAGTATTGAATAAAAAAAAAAAATGCCAGTTTTCATGGTGTTTACATTATCATAGAGTACAATGAATAAATGGGAGATAATGTGATAAATGCTTCCTGTCTAATAAAAGAGAAACATGGTAATTAGCGTATGACCGCTACCCTTCCCATTGGCTAATCAGGGTGATATGCAAATTAACTGCTAGCCAAGATGGCGGCTGACAGCCAGGCAGCTTAAAGCGAACATGAGGCTTGCTTGCTTCAGTGACGGAGGACTCCAACGTTCCCCGCCTGCCGCTGCAGGCCTCTGAGCTGCAACTCTAAGCAACTATGTTACAAATATAGAAGCTAAACAAAACCCCAGAAACCTGCTTTAGTCCCTCTGGCTTCAGCCAGCAGGATCGCAACATTGTTTCAAATACAGAAGGTAAACAAAGGCCAGAAACCTACTTTCAGCAGCGGAGGCCCAAGAGCTGGAACCAAGCCTCAAAGCTAAAGCTGGCCCGGAATAAAAAGAAAAAAAAGAAAAAAGGAGCGGTTGGGAGCTTCAGTCACCCACCAGCCTGAAAACAGCCCTCAGCCCCTCACCCAGGCTGGGCAGGCACCCCAGTGGGGACCCCCACCCTGATCCAGGACACCCTTCAGGGCAAACCAGCCGGCCCCCACCCGTGCACCAGGCCTCTATCCTATATAGTAAAAGGGTAATATGCCTCCCAGCACTGGGATCAACGGAGCCGAGAGGCCTCCCGGCACTGGGATCAGTGTGACGGGGCAGCGCCCAAACCCCCTGATCACCCTGCGGCTCTGTTTGTGACGGGGCGGGGCCACAACCTCCCTATCCGCCCTGCTCTGTTCGTGACAGGGGAAGGCGCCCCAACCCCCTGATCATCCCTGCTCTGTGCCTGATGGGAGCTCCCCAACCCCATGATCGCCCTGCGGCTCTGTGTGTGACAGGGTGCGGCACCACAACCCCCTGATCAGCCCTGCTCTGTGTGTGACGAGGTAGAGTCATAACCTCCCCATTGGCCCTGCCCTGAGTGTGAGAGTGGCGGCGCCCCAACCCCCTGATCGGCCCTGCTCTGTGGGTGATAGAGGGCGGTGCCCCAACCCCCACCCCACGGGCCCTGCTCTGTGTGTGATGGGGTAGAGCCATAACCTCCCCATCGGCCCTGCCCTGAGTGTGACAGTGGCAGTGCCCCAACCCCCGATCGGCCCTGCTCTGTGGGTGATAGAGGGCAGCGCCCCAACCCCTTGATCCGCCCTGCTCTGTGTGTGACAGCGGGCGGTGCCCCAACTCCCCTATCGGCCCTACTCTGTGCATAACAGGGGGCAGCACCCCAACCCCCTGATTGGCCCTGCTCTGTGCGTGACAGGGGGTGGCGCCGCAACCTCCCCATCGACCCTGCCTTGAGTGTGACGGGACGGTGCCCCAACCCCCCAATTGGCCCTACCCTGAGCGTGACTGAGGGTGGCATCGCAACCTCCCGATCTGCCCGGCTCTGTGCATGACTGGGGGCAGCGCCCCAACTCCCCAATCGGCCCTGCTCTGAGCCCGACCAGGGGCTACACCTAGGGATTGGGCCTGCCCGCTGCCACCCGGGAGCAGGCCTAAGCCAGCAGGTCGTTATCTCCCGAGGAGTCCCAGACTTCGAGAGGGCACAGGCCGGGCTGAGGGGACCCCCTCCCCCCGCACCCCCGAGTGCACAAATTTTTGTGCACTGGGTCTCTAGTTTTAAAATAAAAAGCGTGATGGCAGAAATCTACCTTCGATTGGTTTTAGAAGGCCTCTGAAGAGATGACATTAGAGCTGTATGATCTAGTATAGTAGCTACTAGCCATGTGGGTGGACATGTTGGTTTTTTCCACTTTTGACCCATTATAAATAAAGCTAGCATTCATTTCTAGTGAGAAGCCAATTTGGGGTGGGGTGGGGAGGTGATAATGCGTCAGATTTACTTTTTTTTTTTTAATATATTTTATTGATTTTTTACAGAGAGGAAGGGAGAGAGATAGAGAGTTAGAAACATTGATGAGAGAGAAACATCAATCAGCTGCCTCCTGCACATCCCCTACTGGGGATATGCCGGCAACCCAGGTACATGCCCTTGACCGGAATCGAACCTGGGACCTTTCAGTCTGCAGGCCGACGCTCTATCCACTGAGCCAAACCGGTTTCGGCTAGATTTACATTTTTAATGTGTCTGCTGTGTGGAGAATCAGTTGTATGTGGGAAAGTTAGGATTAGAAAATCCAGGTAGATACTCTCACTCTCTCCCTCTCCCTCCCTCCACCCTACCCTTTCATTCTCTCTAAAAATCAATTTTAAAAAATCCAGTTAGAAGAAAACTCGACCAAAGTTGGTTTTCTTTGGGGACAATTTAAATTATCAATAGGCTAGGCCTGAATTATAAAGATGTATTCCTGGCTCATTTTATTGTCTTAGGAAATTCCCTAAGATGATCTGTCTCTATTTCTCCTCCTCTATATGTTGTTTTCTTTTTCATGACATTTATAAACAACTTGTTTAAATGATATTCTAATGACATGGAAAATAATAGTATAAATTTCTAGCCAGTCTTTCAAGACCATTTGTCAGCTTTGAATATTTTTTACTTTTTGTTTGTATACCACTTGACTAGAAGTATTGCAGAACTCTTAAACTCAAATAATTTCAATTCTCTCCAGTATCTGTACTTACATGTATGTATGGTATCCATGTGATTATATTTACCTACCATTGAAAATAAGTAGCGGTAATAATAATATTGAACATTATTTGAGTACCATCTTTGGGTCAGACCCTGTAGCAAGTGTCTTACATGCAGTTTCTCATTGAACTGTCACAGCATTCCAGCGAAATAAATATTTTGTGTCCATATGAAACCCGAGCCTCTGAAAAATAGTAATTTGCCTAAGGAAACCTAGCTCATTAGTGAAAAATCTGATACTTAAACTTGGATCTATCTGATTCCAGATTCTGCTCTTTCCAACTCTATCTCATTTCTTAGACCAGGATTTAAGAGTTTAGGTTCTAGAGCAGGGGTGGGCAAACTTTTTGACTTGAGGGCCACAATGGGTTCTTAAACTGGACTGGAGGGCTGGAACAAAAGCATGGATGGAGTGTTTGTGTGAACTAATACATGTTAACACTGCTGCTGGTGAAGGAGCGGAGGGGAGAGCAAGAGAACCCTCCGCTCTTTCGGCTCTGCGGGCCGGATAGAACAGCCGAATGGGCCGGATCCGGCCCGCGGGCCGTAGTTTGCCCACGGCTGTTCTAGAGGTTAGGAGAAACCAAGATGGCGGCATAGGTAAACACCAGAGATTGCTGCCTCACACAACCACTTCAAAAATACAACTAAAAGATGGAATGGACATCACCCAGAACCACAGGAAGGCTGGCTGAGGGGAAATTCTACAACTAGAAGGAAAGAGAAAAGCATACCGAGACTCAGAGGAGGTGCAGTGCGGAAGTAAAATACTAAGGTGCAGAGATGCATGCGGAGCGGGCTGGCAGCTGAGGGCACAGTTGTCTTTTTCAATTGGGAGAGAGTCTCAGGCTCTGAGCTCCAGCTCCGGGCGAGTCTCTGGGGACCCAGACTCAAACAGGAGAAGCGGGACTGTCTGGCATCGGTTGGAACTCGAGGGCAGCTTTCTCTCCGAGGTACTTGCAGCAATTGCTGGGACACTGAGAAGCAGAGCCTCTAAAGGCAGGACTGAGAGCAGCCATAACTGCTCGCCCTGTTGATCCCCTGGGACCCGCCACGCCCAAGCCTTGCACGCAGGCATTTGCTGAATAGCCTCAGGCAGAGGCTAGATTAGCACCTCCCTAGAGATCAGGACAGAAGTTCTCCCACTGTAGACACAGCTGATTCTCACAGCCAATTGGCCTGGAGGTCAAATCCCCCCCAGTGTTACCTACAACAATCAAGGCTTAACTACAACAAGACTGCGCAAAGACCACAAGGGGGTGCACCAAGAAAGCATAAAAAAATGCGGAGACAAAGAAACAGGACACAAATGACAGAAATGGAGGAAAGCAAACTACTGGACATAGAGTTCCTAACCACACTTTTAAGGTGTTTAAGAACTGTCTAGAAGCCGCCAATAAATTTAGTAAGGCCCTCGAAAAGACTGGTGAGACCGCCGATAAATGTAGTGAGATCCTCAAGAAATCTAGTGAGACCCTCAATGTTGTGATAAAGGACCAACTAGAAATTAAGCATACACTGACTGAAATAACGAATATTATACAGACTCCCAACAGCAGACCAGAGGATCGCAAGAACCAAGTCAAAGATTTGAAATACAAAGAAGCAAAAAACACCCAACCGGAAAAGCAAAATGAAAAAAGATTCCAAAAATACAAAGATAGTGTAAGGAGCCTCTGGGACAGCTTCAAGCGTACGAACATCCGAATTATAGGGGTGCCAGAAAAAGAGAGAGAGCAAG